GGACACGACTGAAGTGACTTAGCAGTAGCAGTAATACCATAATAAAATGCTTTAAATTAATGAAAACAAAACTGAACCAATCAACAGAAGTAGGATGAAGGATCTGGTGAAAAAGACATAAAATTATGACAAACAATTGATAATGAGGGGGTGGGCAGTAAGAAGGAAGATGAATCTGGAAGGGCTTTACAAGTAAGTCTGCCAGGTTTAGAAAATAAGAGGACACCCAGTTAAATGTGAATTTTAGATAAATAAAGAGTTCTTTAATAGTGTAAGAATGACTCTCTTTTATCTGGATACTCTGTTCACATGGAGACTTCAACTTCTACTAAAACGTAAGATTCCTAAAAGCAGGGGTTTCTGCATATTTTGTTCCCTGCTCTATCCCCAGGGCCCAGAACAATGTTTGGCACATTTTAAGTGCTCAAAATCATTGCAGATGGTGACTGCAGCCATGAAATTAAAAGACACTTACTCCTTGGAAGGAAAGTTATAACCAACCTAGATAGCATATTAAAAAGCAGAGATATTACTTTGCCAACAAAGGTCCATCTGGTCAAGGCTATGGTTTTTCCAGTGGTCATGTATGGATGTGAGAGTTGGACTGTGAATAAAGCTGAGCACCGAAAAATTGATGCTTTTGAACTCTGGTGTTGGAGAAGACTCTTGAGAGTCCCTTGGACTGGAAGGAGATCCAACCAGTCCATCCCAAAGGAGATCAGTCCTGGGTGTTCATTGGAAGGACTGATGCTGAAGCTGAAACTCCACTACTCTGGCCACCTCATACGAAGAGTTGACTCATTGGAAAAGACCCTGATGCTGGGAGGGATTGGGGGCAGGAGGAGAAGGGGACAACAGAGGATGAGATGGCTGGATGGCATCACCGACTTGATGAGCATGAGTTTGAGTAAACTCCGGGAGTTTGTGATGGACAGGGAGGCCTGGCACTGTGATTCATGGGGTCGCAAAGAGTCAGACACAACTGAGCGACTGAACTGAACTGAAGTACTCAATACATGCCATGTACTGGTAAAGTTTATTTCTTAGGCTTAGATGGTATGTACATGAGTGCCTGTTATATAACCTTTACATATTTTTTAATATCTGAAATGTACAGTAATACATTTTACAAGTTACAGTATTAATTAACCACTCTTTTAAGGGGGAGGGGGTTGGGGGATGGAGTGGGAGTTTGGCACAAGTAGAAGCAAACTATTATATACAGAATAGATAAACAAGGTCCTACTGTATAACACAGGGAATTATAGTTAATATCCTATGATAAATCATAATGGAAAAGAATATAAAAAAAGAATGTACATATAGGTATAACTGAATCACTTTGCTGTACCAGAAATTAACATTGTAGATAAGCTATGTGTTAGTTGCTTGGTCGTGTCTGACTAAGCCCACCAGATTCTTCTGTCCATGGGATTTCCCAGGCAAGAATACTGGAGTGGGTTGCCATTCCCTTCTCCAGGGGATCTTCTCAACCCAGGAATCAAACCTGGGTCTCCTGCATTGCAGGCAGATTCTTTGCCATCTGAGTCACTAGGGAAGCCTACTTCAATTTTTAAAAGATCAATACTTTTTACCCAATCCAACTGAAGGACTCAGTGGGGAATGAGAGTGTAAAATGACTTGTGAATGGTCCCTTATCCAATTTAAACTCTAGACAGGGATGTGAACATGCGATGATCAGTCTTCAGGTGTGTCTTGCAGCAAGGGCACAGTGTAACTAGGTTGTGCTTTTCTCAGTTGTCTTTTTTTGCATCTGCTATATTCCTCAGACCATGAAAAGTGTTTCTTTCGCCAGTGTTCTGACTCTATCGTCACATGGGATTTCTGTTCATGTTCTGAGGGGCCCAAAGCAGTGATTTTTCAGGGGGAGGGGGTAGGAAGGAATATATGTTCTTTGGGGCATAACACATTTAGGGGAAGTATAGTTTAAGAAAGCATATTTAATATTATACTTTATTTTTGAAAATGAATAAAACATGTATTTACTTCACACTTAACACTCTACTAAACTATCCAAATGATGCAGTTTTTTTCTCATGGGAAAGATCAATCACCAGCCTTTATTAGCTTCCATAAAGCTCTCTTTAACCCATCTTAAATCTGAGTCTGTAAATGTTCTTAAGTTAACCACATTTCAAAAAGTGTATTTATAACTCACATACGTGTTTGTATTGAGTTTGGCTTTTTTTGTTTTTTTTTTACAATGGCTAGGTATTTCTTCTGTAATACAAAGTGAGAAAAGAAATGTACAAATTCTTATAAGTATAATTTCAACTATGAAATATATAAAATGAAATAATGCCATTTGCAGCAACATGAATGGACCAAGAGATTGTCACACTGAGTGAAGTCAGTCAGAGAGAGACAAATATCATATGATATCACTTTTAAGTGGAATCTTAAAAAATGGTACATATGAACATATTTATGAAACAGAAAGAGTCACAGATATAAAAAACAAACTTATGGTTATGGGGGTCAGGGGTGAGAGGGGATAAATTGGGAGACTGGGATTGACATATACACATTACTATATATAAAACAGATAACTAATAAGGACCTACTGTATAGCACAGGGAACTCTACTCCATAATCTGTAATAGCCTATATAGGAAAAGAATCTAAAAAAGAATCAATATATTAGTGACTAAACAGCAAATAACTAAATCACTTTACTGTGCACCTAAATTAAACACAACATTGTAAATTAATGATACTCCAATAAACTGCTTTTAAAAAGTAAAATAAAATTTTAGAAAAGAGGAAAAAAAATAAAGGCTATATGCAAAACAAGCAAAACATTTATTTTGGAGTGGTGGTATTACCAGTAATTCTTGCTTTATTTTTTGGAAAATACTAAGCTTCTATATTATAAAATTTTCCCTAATGAGTTTCATATATATATATGTGTGTGTGTGTGTGTGTGTATATATACACGCACATATGTATATACAGTTTATTCATGCACATGTATCTGTGTGTATATATATACACACATATTTATACACATATATGCATATATAAAATAAAGGTATGTGTGACTTAAGTCTCTAATCAGATTTGTTTACAGGCTTACAGAGGCCATGGTGACTAGAATATACAAAGACCTTCTATTGCCTGGCCCAGACACCTGTCCGCAGTAACAAGTCATACCCTGACACCCCAGAAGTCACAAATCAGAGAGTTTTTCTCTGCTTTCAGACTCAGTCCTTAGACCTGTTAGGCAGGCTACCAAGTGAGGAAGGAAGGTCGTAACTGCATCATCAGACTTTAGGAACAAAGGAGAAGTGATACTCCAGGACAAATCAAGTTGGAAAGGCATTAGGGTCATCTGGGGTAAGTATCTAAACCCCTGAATATAGAATTTTGCCAGAGATACCAGAGGGTTTTGGAGAACAACTTCAAGTCCCCTTCCTCTGAGTGTGTGATAAGAATTAGGGGCAGGAGAGGGAAAGGAGATGATAGCATCATGGGGGGATTGAAACCCACTCAAAACTCTCAAGAAACTTCACAGTGTTTTGATTTCTGCCCTTATCAAATATTTGACTAGAGAAACAAGTAATAATCCTGACTTTTCTTTCTTCACTTAGGTAAGTTACTGAGCTTCTCTGTGCCATGATATAGGGGCAACAGTGGTGGTGGTGGCAGTGATGGTAACACATACTTTCATAGGATTACAGTGATGATTAAGTATAATAATGCAAGCAAGGCATCTTGGGTACAATGGTAATACTAAGAGTTCATTAAATGTTAGGGATTGACAGCAATCCTGAGCAGAATCTCTAAAAGTCCTGAGAAGTCGAGCAGCAGAAAGGACAGGAAGAAGAATGAATGGATTTAGATCAGTTGTTCCATAATTAACAATTGAGTTTATTTGGGTTTGATCTGGGGCAAGCTGTAGTATCTTGTTAGAGGGGATGCTTGTAGCTGGAATTGCTGACACAAAGTCTCATAGCGGGTGAGTGGGCCCATTTCAGAGGTCTCCTCCTTTTCCTCCTGATGTTTTACAGCTTACACAACACATGTAGGCATGTTTCTGATGCTCTCATTGGTTCTAACCCTGCACATACTTACTGATGTTTTACACATGGAGAAATAGTCCTGCCCCATAATTCATGGTTAATGTAGGAGATGGGTCTCCTGACTCCAACCCTACATTCTCTCCATTATCAGTGCACAGACAGCAGTGTGAGGACCTTGGACTCAAGTGCTCCACAAGAATTCCCATATATACAATTACTGCTCTCACACGTTCTGCTATTTGGCAGACAACTTAAAAGAAGAATGAACACTTGGAGTACCACTTTGGAGAGGTTGTCATCTCCTGCCATATATAGTCTCATATACTTTTCTCAGTGTTTGTCCTACAAATTTCTCCAAAATCTTATATAAACAATACAAATTGTAGATATGCAAAATATATAGGCTTATAATATAATCAAGTAAGAATCAGAATACAAATCTTTACGATTCATAATGTCTATAGCTTACTGTATATTTCTTTTTGGATAAATTAAAGAATGAATATACCCTTCTCTTATCCCACTCCCCCACGGTTGGGCAAAATCAAACAAAAGCTGCTTGGGAATGGATACTAAGGGCTGGTTTTTAAGCATTCAGCCTCATCTCTCTCATTGTTTGATCCCTCATAAAGAAGTACAAGAGAAGTATACATTATTGTTGCATTAGCATTCAGGATTTTACATTTATCTTTCAACACTCTGATAGAGTTACCTTAGATAATAATTTACCTAACTGATTTTTGTACATAAAAACTCTAAAGATAAACGCAGATTCTGCAAGAGATTAAACAACAACAAAAACTTTAATGGACAGAAACTGCTTTGAAATTCTAGTTATCTAGGCAACTTATCATTATTTACCCATTATTTAAAAAGAAGCAATGTTAGTCTGAGCAAAGACACACACTAATGCACACACACACACATATACACACACACTCCAGAACATGGGGTTACCTGAGGCGGAGCCGTTAACCTTTGTGGTATGAGCCATGCTGGCTTGAATCCAATGACAGATCCAGAAAGGAGTGAGGAGTCATGCAAATTTTATGCATCAAGTTCCCAGATGCATTCAACCTGAAACAATAAAGAGAGCCCCATCAAAATGGGTCATTTAAAACTACGTATAACACCAAATCTTAGCCTTCTGTTTACAAAGATGACCGCTAATGGACAGAGCAAATCAGAAAAGTGGAGAGAGACACCTGAGGAGCAAGGTGGTGACTGCCTTGTATCTGGCCACTGGATGTCCAGAGTGATGCACTTACAGATGCTCCCGTGAGCCGGGGCTGCAAGCAGGTCCCTAAACACAACACTTCTATGGGAGATAAAATAGGTTCCCCAGAAATGTGACTTTTTGAGGAAGGTGTCCTTCAAATATAAATATGTATCATTTCACAAACTGTTTCTGGTTTTTAAACTTATCTTCCTTTCCAAATTTTGATTCAACAGCTTCATTTTCTCAATTGCAATTTCAAAGCAGTTGTTGCACCCAATGTTCACATTTTTAAAAAAAGATTAATTTCATGTGAGTTCTCTTGTGAGATCTCAAGTTTTTCACTGATCCAGTCTTTTAAAAACATAAATCTCATCCAGGCAGTCTTCGTCTTAAAAAAAAAAATCTGCTCCGTTCTGTTGGATAAACTTCAAATGACTTAGCATGACATGCAGTTTTGAAACATCAGGGTTTATGTTAGGCAACATATTTCTTATTTTATATTGATTTTCTACTTTAAAGTTAACTGAGATTACTACAAGACATTACAATCACAAAATTTAAAACAAAAAGAAAAAAAGCCCACTGCTCCAACCTTTGCTTCCGCAAATGCCTTTTGAAAAATATTGACAAGGAAAGCAACGAGGGTACAGACAGTAATATTCCATTTCTTCCATTGTGCCCAAATTCTCACTCTAGACCAACAAAATCTGAAGAAATTGAGCTTAACAAATTCCAAGCTGAGAGATAAAGTGAAAATTGAGAAACCTATACAAGCTCTCCCAAACAGGAAGATTATAAAATAACAACATATCCATGTATCCTGTATCCTAATGCAGCTATTGATGTCATTTAAGAGCTTTTAATAATACAGTAAAATACTCAAAGTATGTTGATTTAAAAAACTATTCTGTCATAACCCATTTTGTTAAAAATACATATGTACATATTTATACATCTATTTAAAACAATTAGAAATAAATACACCAAAACATTCATTGTGGTTTGCCCTTCAGTGATGCAATTATCCATGATTTTAGCTCCTTCATTACTTTTGTAATAGTAATTATTTATAAAAGAGACATTAGATACTTCCTGTCAACTTGGTTTTGTTTGCTTTAAAATCAACTGGAGAAAGAAAAAAGCATTTTAAAATGCTATGCAAAAGGAAACTATCAAGCCACGGTCATGGAGATGGTAAGAGGTCAGAAATATAAGTAAACAAAAAGGAAGGAAAGGGGAGTCGGCTAACCCCTTTGATCACACGGGGTGAGAATTCCTTACTGCTTAGCTGGGGATCTTTTCTTCACTGTCTGAATGGGTCTGCACTATGGTCAAAGCTGACTACTGTGAAAGCAGCTCAGTGCACTCTGAGGGACCTTCTACAGGCTGCTTCTGACAGGCGTGCTCCCTGGTGTGGCTTTTCCAGCTACGGCTGAGTACTGCTCAGCTTGCCTGCAGAGACTCAATTCTCACTCTTCCCCTGGCAGGCCTCCCAGCTCCCTGCTGGTCCCCAGTTTCTATCTGGCAGCTCACCAAGAGGACAGGACAGCTCTAATTTCTCTGACTATGTGGTCATCACCTGACATTCTGTTGGAAAGAAGCCCTGGTTCAGGTCCATGGCACTGAACTTGGAGAGTTGGAGCTAGGCAAAGCAAAAGGCAGGCTTTAGGGATAAGAGTGAGCATTATGTCTGACAAATGTAGCTTTGTTAATAAAATAAGGTGGGGACTGGGAGAACTGAAGGAGGAGTGGGGTGACAAGGGGGCAAAAGGAAGAAGCCCAGCTTCTGGGATTATTCAAGCAATTATACTTTTAAAAGTCAATAATAGCAAAATCTGTTTACTGGTCTCAGTCGAGCCCCATGTGTGTGTGTGTGTGTATGTATTCTTCCTTCATAATGGCTTGTAAATACCGTCACTATTAAACTCTTAAGAGGGAAAACTGAAGGCAAGAAGAAACATGCTGCTTGTGTTATGGGTGAATGAAGTATGTGTCAAAGTATTTGGATGGATATGTGCCCAGAATCTTCCGAGTCAAGCTTCATAAAATTTGGTCCAAGGTCCTCTCCTGTTCTTGAACATCTTTCACCTGGCAGAAGATCTTTGTCTCAGATCCAAATTGGTCTCTCCCACCCTCCCCCAAACTGAACAATAAAATCAAAATGAGGAGGAAACCTCAAATTAGGAATCACACGCATATCACTGGTAAAATAACAAGACATGCCTGTCACTGGGTGTGGATCCTGGCAGTGTCTGTGCAGAAACAAGTTTTATATTGTGTTATCGATCTTTCCCAGTTATTGTTCATGTCTGACAGGTGGCTTCAAATTGTGAGGACTTGGTCTTCTTAATGATACGCAGATTCTTATGTCAGTGCATTGTATAAACCATGAAAGGTTTGGCCGTGATCCACTCTCTGTTACAGATCAATAAACTGCTTCTTTTCTCTGTCAGAGAAGACTGCAAACCAGTAAATCTTAAGTAGTACAACAGTGGCTTTGTTTTGCTGGCTAAGAAAAAGCACTTCTTTGAACGGATTTAGAAAAACACATCCACAGAGAAAATAATTTGCCTTCTTGCCTGTTTATTTATAGAGACCGATTTGTGTTGAAGAACAGCTCCCCAAGTATGGTGCTGAAAACAATGTAGATGCATGAATTAACCTTGTAGATACATTAGTTTAATATGAAACAGATATGAAAAAGAGCTCACTTGATGTTTCATAAGAACATCAATGAAAACAAATAAGCAAAATTGAAATTTGATGTGTACTCTGAGCCAGTATTGCCAACCAGTCAAATGCCAATGCCCTGGTTACAACCAAGATTATGATGGTGATGGTGACAACACTGATGACAATGCTGATGACCACCAGTGCTGATCAAGTGCTTACATTAGTTACTGAAATCTAAAACGTCATCTACTCTAAAGTGTACTGTTAAGTGCCATTGGTTAAAAAAAGATGTTGCTAATTAAATGCTAATAAAATGCTCCTAAAAATTACATTAATTGTAAGATATATCCTCATTTGAGAAGTGTTAAAATGTGCACCTTGAAATTGGTGAAATAATGTTATCTTTAAGGCACTTTAAAAGAACTTAACAGTTATTACATTAATTAAACCTTACAAAAATCCTATGAAGTACCAATATCCTCTCTCTACATTTTACAGATAGCAATCTGAGGTTTAGAATTTGCTGAGGTCACATAGCTGGTAAATGAAAGAGCTATGTTTCAGAGCTAAGCAATCCACCTACAACTCATATGCCATGTTTTGCGATTAGTGACTTAAGAGTGACAGCATGACTGCCGTAAGAAGTAAGAACTCATATGCATAGAGTGAAGTCCCTTTCAAGGAGTTACCTAAGGGATGTATATGCTTACTGCAAGGATGCTTTGTTTTAACTCCTTTTAGGTAGAAAGTTATGTTTCAGAATTTTATGTAATATTGGTTTAGAGGCAATTACATTTCAAACTTTATTCTTTCAGATTAAATGTTTAAGAGCTTGAGGAGGTACCTCCTCAATATACCATGGTATACTCAATATACCATGACACAGAGGGTATATTTTAGCACTTAATGGTCATAATCTCTTCCAGACTCTACAAGATATCAATCTTGATTATTAATCTTGATTCATTAGACTTTGCCATGAATGCCATTTGACTCTTTCAAAAAATTCAGTGCTTAAGAAATTTTCCACCACTGAGAACGTGTGGGAGAGTCTCAATGGAACTGTAGGAGTTTAAAAAATGGACAGGATAAGAGTAGTATAACTGGAATAAGAAACTTGCTGCTCAGAATGACAATGATGAAAGGGGAAAGAACCATTTTGATGTGCAAGTTCTAGAATGTCTTTATAACATTTTTTTTTATAATTTATAAAGTTACAGAAGCAATATAAAGAATTTGACTTAAAATCTGGAAAAGACAAAACATGCCAAAAAATGACAATTTACTATCTGACAATCCTAATGTTGTCATTGTTACCACCTGAGACTCTTTTCAACGTATTGACTATATGCATTTTAATTACCTCAGTGTGTTTTTAAAGACCTACACCACCCTAGAATCTGAACCAGTCACTATTTTGTTTCCATTTCAGAGACATAAGATAAACTATCTTATGTCGGCGGCTGCACGGCGCAGGAGCTACCCCACGTCCAAGGTCAGGGGTGGCGGCCATAAGGAGATACCACACGTCCAAGGTAAGGAGCAGTGGCTGCGCCTTGCTGGAGCAGCCGTGAAGAGATGCCCCACGTCCAAGGTAAGAGAAACCCAAGTAAGACGGTAGGCGCTGAGAGAGGGCATCAGAGGGCAGACAGACTGAAACCACAATCACAGACAATTAGCCAATCTGATCACATGGGCCACAGACTTGTCTAACTCAATGAAACTAAGCCATGCCTGGTGGGGCCACCCAAAACAGACGGGTCACGGTAGAAAGGTCTGACAGAACGTGGTCCACCGGAAAAGGGAATGGCAAACCACTTCAGTATTCTTGCCTTGAGAACCCCATGAACAGTATGAAAAGGCAAAATGACAGGACACTGAAAGATGAACTCCCCAGGTCAGTGCCCAATATGCTACTGGAGACCAGTCGAGAAATAACTTCAGAAAGAATGAAGAAGAAGAAAAAAAAAGAATGAAGAGATGAAGCCAAAGCAAAAACACCACCCAGTTGTGGATGTGACTGGTGATAGAAGCAGAGTTTGATGGTGTAAAGAGCAATATTGCACAGGAACCTGGAATGTTAGGTCCATGAATCAAGGCAAATTGA